TATAAACTAAATATTTAACTTACAAATTAAATATTTAGTTAACAAGCTAAATATACCACTATCTGGTTAATATGAGGCATAAAACCACTATCTGGTCAATATGAGGCTTAAAACCACTATCTGGTTAGTATGAGGCAAAAAAACTGGTTAATATGAGGCTTAAAGCCACTATCTGGTTAATATGAGGCATAAAAAACTGGTTAATATGAGGCTTAAAGCCACTATCTGGTTAATATGAGGCATAAAAAATCAGTTTAATATGAGGCTTAAAGCCACCAAGGTTAACCTTAGAGCAAATAACATGGTTAGCACTAACCTCTGACGAACATATATTTTGGCCTCTCTATAGGTCAATGGGTAGAGTGCTAGACAAAAAAATGGGAGACCAGGGTTCCAGTCTGACATGGACAAAAAATTTTATTACAATATGTTTTGGATATTTACACATTCATAACCATTAATATATTAACCCACTAGGGGGCACTGTTGGGACAGTCTGAAGCCTAGAAGGCACAGTAGGGACCCTCTGAAGCCATTGTATGGGACTGAAAACGCCTAATAACGTCCATTTCATGGACTGATAACATCAGAATCCCCTGTATTTGTCTGTGTACCTGCAAAATGAGAGTAGGTCTGTGTAAATTACAATCTGTACAACTTGACACGTATATACAAACTGAAATGCTCTGTCCCCACATCTCTACACTTTAAAATGTACATTGATGTAAACATTTAGAAACACTTTCTCCAACTACCACTTTGTTATGAAGCACAGTAGACTGTTAGTCCTATAATCTGCTTTTCTGTTTCACTGTTTGGGTAAAGCTTACTTCATGAAGTGTTCATTTGGGTGTGCAGGACCTTAGAGGTAAAATCTTGTTGAAGGGGAAAAAGGAGACGGTAGAGGATGAATGTCCATCCAGTTCTTCAGATTCCAGCTCTGATGAGGAGGCCGGTTGCAGTGAAGGAAAACCCAACAAAAAAGAGGAGGAGAAGAAGGTTGGTAAATAAAATGTAACCGTGTTGATGAATGTTGAAGATGTTTCTGTGGTGTAAGCTGACAGTAGATGTTTCTGATCTCAGCCAGGTGTGTCCAAACTGAGTCCAGAGCTGTCTGAGCTTGTGGTGTACACTCGCAGCGTTCCCTTTAAAAGCTTTGAGCACGCTGCCCGAAACCCAGCCAGTGACATGTCTTCCTTCTCTGAGAGTGAAGCACTCAGGCTCATCAAGGATTCAGGTGTGTAGTGTGAGGACAGCTACACACTGCACACTTATCCAACAAGCTTTTAGGCCAACTTGAACATTTCCAGCTCTTGTTTGATTTTGCAGGGATGCATTTTGTACGTCACAACAGCCACCAGCTCAGCAGGATCTATCCTTCAGGCCAGCGCTTCCAGTCATCCAACTACAACCCTCAGGAGATGTGGAACACTGGCTGTCAGATTGGTGAGGCTTTTTGTTTGTTTTTATTATAAACAAGAGACAACAGTTGAACAGATGCTGAATTCGGTACCAGAGCGGAGGTTTCAGCTGCAGAGAAGAACTCTAGGCATGATCTTAGGGAACTGCTTCATTGAAGCTGGCTGCCAAACCATGAATGTCTGTGGAACTCGCTGCTCCATCAGTCAGAGTCTGGGCTGTAAACTGGTGAAGGTGGGAGACCTTGTCTCTGTTCGTGATGCTTCAGAGTGGTGCTAGCTGATCCAGACATCATGAAGAAAACAGATTAAAATGACGCATGGAGTTAAAATTAGCTTCCTTAACGTTCTATAAAAGTCAAGTTCATGTGCTGAGCTGGTGCGGTACTTAGTTGTTAGTTTCCTAACAAAGTTACATTAAAGCAGTGATGAGGAGAGAGTCCAGCCTGGCTACAGAAAAGGAGGCCTGACTCCTGACTCCTGACTCCTGAGCAGCCATGATGGTGGCTGTCAGGATCAAGGCAGCCTGGAGAATAAACTTGCTTGGAGCTGAGAGGAGCTGAACTGAACTAGAGATTGGAAGTGCGCGCTAATTCTTGAAGGATGTGGTTGGGCGGAGTTAGTCGTGCATTTGTCCAATTAAAATGTTACACATCATACCAGGGGTGTCAACTTAAGGAGTTTTAATGAATCAGCTTTTTGGAGGGAAAAGTTGTCTTCTACACAAAGAAAATGGGAGTGTTTAGTTTACAGTAGCTGTGTTTCCATTGACCATGGAAATGCACAAATTAGAATGTCGAAAATAAATTTGCTCAATGGAAACACATCAATTTCGAAAAAACTTCCTTTTTTTCGACAAAATGTTCTTACGCTAGGATGAGGTGGTATTTCGGCCGTATCGAAATTGGTGTTTTTCGCAAAGCTGCAATGGAAACACTTTTTTCACATCACAGGAGTCAACTGATCAACAACCGTCTGTTTCTACTGGTGAAAAAGACGATGATGAAGAAGATAACAGGAAGTAGAAGTAGTAGTAATATCACAGAAGTAGTATAAAATAGTAAACTCAGCGACTACAATTTCCCAAAAACACAGCATACGTAGCCGCTCCCAAGTAGGGACTTGTCTCTAGGGCTGTGTATTGGCAAGAATTTGGCGATACGATACATATCATAACAGAGGGGTCACGATACGATATATCCC